TTAGGAAAGCCAGAGAGGCGGGAGGGAGGGACAGGGACGGGTCCCCAGGGGGAGCCTGAGAAAGACTGGACCCGCGCCGTCCCGGGATCGTGCTGTGAAGAGGGGCTTCTGCAGGTGGGGGGTGTTCAGACGATCGTGCGCGCGCGCTGTACAGAGCAGCAGCGTAGGACACTCCCGTTTAGCAGTTTTTAGTTGTCTCTGTTTGTCATTCTCACGCACTTATTCTCCTTTCGTTCTTGCTAGATCTCACATAATTCTGCCTCTAATTTCCTTTTTTTCTTCCCAGTTGTGGAGTTAAGATTTTAGACTTAGTTTAAAATCCTTTAGTTAGTTTACCACCAACAGTTATTCTCAGGAACGGGGAACGCATCCTCGGGCGTGGCGCTGTTTTGGAGCATCTCTGGGGCTCCCATGCACAGAGCTGGTTTGGGGCCGGCCATTTGCTGGTGGCTGAGTGTGGGGCCCTGTCTGCCGTCCCTCCCTCTTCCCGTCTCACATGGGCTTCGGCTGCAGTCGGGGCTCTTCATAGCTGAGCTGAGATCAGTGCTGAGCTCCTCTCTGGCTCTTCTCTTTTTAAGACCTGGGACATGTGGTAGAATTACCACTTCTAGCAAAAGTACCTTGTCTCATCTGCTTTCTGGTCTGCTTGAAGCTCTCACTTGGAAGTGAGGAAGAGAGAGACCTCTTTTGTACTGGCAAGTACACTGTTTCTCTTCATAATCTACAGCTCTGTCTTTCTGTCCAGGTGGCTGTTACAGTAACATCTCACTTGGAAGTGAGGAAGAGAGAGACCTCTTTTGTACTGGCAAGTACACTGTTTCTCTTCGTAATCTACAGCTCTGTCTTTCTGTCCAGGTGGCTGTTACAGTGACACTTACAGTAACATGTTTATTGAGAGTTTGTGTTGTGAGCCAGACACTGGGTGCTCTGTGCCGTCTCTGCTCCTCCTGTGAAGTGGGCGCTAGTGTCTTTACTTAAAGATGAAGAAGTCAGAGCTGAAAACGGTTAAATCCCCAGATCCTTGCTGCTCCAGCAGTGGTCTGTGGACTGGCAGCATTAGGAATGCAGTCTCAGAGCTCAGCCCTCCCCTCACCCACACAGACTCTGAACCTGCGTATAAGGAGGTCGCCAGGTGATGAGCGTGGACATCGCCCTGGGTCCCTGAGCTGTTGGGCTGGGCCGCACTTGACCGCAGCCTGCACCTCTGCTTGCTCTCACTCCCTCCCCCAGCGTCTCTCTCTTTTCGGGAGGGATGGAGGTTGCAGGCAAGTCTGATCAGGAACACCAGTAGTACCTTTGGAGCTTGAGGTTTGAGTAACTTATTCTCTCTTTTCTTTCTTTCCCTTTTCTTTCCCCTGCATCTCTAATCCCTAAAATCGTTATCCTAGGAGGTCCCGACTGCTGCTTCCTCCTATGTGGATAGTGCTCTGAAGCCGTTGTACCAGCTTCAGAGCAGACACAAGGAGAAGCTGAAGCCAGCGCTGGTGCAGCAGTGGCTGGCAGGGGCCCTCTCGGAGAGCACGCACAGGTGAGCACCCACCGGTCAGCCCAGGGGCTTTGCCGGGGAGGGCCTAAGGCAGATCCCTGAGGCCATCGCAGGGTTGCGTGCAGATGAGGTGGTAACAGTGTCATAGCACGTCGTCCCCTCCCCTCTCACCCCTGCCTGTGCTCAGGGTGCACCTGCCTCTCCCAGGCCACACCTGCCTTCACTGACCGTACACATCTGCCAAATCAAGGTGCTGCTCTCCCAAATCCAGCCTGTTCCCCTTCAGGGCCCCACCCCTCCCCAGGTTCCTGCTGTGCAGAACAGCTTTAACCATGCGGGTGGTCAAGGGCAAGAAATCATGATTCTAAAGGGTCAAGGAATTGGTTTTTAAACCCTGAAACCCTTGAATATCTCTTCATTCCTAGTTACCAGCATTGAGTTACATCAAAATGTGTATTCTTCAGTTTTATTATCGATTTTATTTAATTACTAATAGTTATTTATTTGCGGTAGTGTTTTGTTATTTCCATTACTTATGAGCTAAGCAACTTGCTTGTGGGTGAGTTTAGGACATCACGACGTGTGATGTGTTTTTCTGAGCAAATGTATTGCAAAAGCCATGAAACCAGCCAACAGACAAAGCTTTGAAATATAAACTCATTTATAATTTGAAAATTATGTCGAGACTATTTTGAAGGCAATGAGTTTTATTTCAAATTCTGAGATGCTTTTACACGTTAGAAGATGAACCACCCATCTCTAGAACTGGTGGGGAACGAGCTACAGACATCCAGCCTCGGTACATAAAAGACAGACTGGCCTGTGGCTTTCTCTTAGTGTTTAGGCGTAAAATTGTAAACAGAGTCCGTGCACATATTTCTTAAGTTCTGTGGGAGTGCCGTGCTGGAGACTTAAGACCCTGTTTTCTACAGACATCCAGCCTCGGTACATAAAAGACAGACTGGCCTGTGGCTTTCTCTTAGTGTTTAGGTGTAAAATTGTAAACAGAGTCCGTGCACATTTTTCTTAAGTTCTGTGGGAGTGCCGTGCTGGAGACTTAAGACCCTGTTTTCTTTCACAGTCTTAAGGAACACTGAATACTTACCATGGCTGGATTTTTACTAGAAATGAATTTTTATCTTAAAAGTCTTTGTTATTCTCTTTGGTGTCACACACATGCCTCTGTTTCACCCATGCACGTGTTTTGTGCTCAAGGTACTATGAGACCGTGTCGGATGTGCTGAGCTCCGTGAAGAAGATGGAGGAAAGTCTGAAGAGGCTGAAACAGGCCAGGAAGTCCACTGCCACCACCCCTGCCGGCCCCAGCAGTGGCACAAGTGACGATGACAAGATCAGGCTGCAGCTGGCCCTGGACGTGGCGTACTTAGGAGAGCAGGTAACCCCTCGTGCCGGCAGCTTCCGGGCTGAAGAGGGGGAGTCAGGGCCCAAGTGACCGTGAGGCTGAGGGTTTGCACTCAGAACTATGAGAAAGCGGAGGCGGAGCACCAAGCAGTCCTTCTGGAAGCCCGATGGATGGATCTGCTCCCCGGCTCCTGCTAACGGAGCCCGCTGCATGGGAGCTCCGCAGAGGCCGTGTCTTTGTGGCCCGCTGCCTGGAAAGTGCTGAACCGAGTCTGCTGAGGCAGGACAACTGTGGAAGCGTCACCTTCCCGTGCTGCGTGTCGATCGTCGGGGCACACCTTCCCTGCCTGGGACTTGTAGGCTTTCTATAAAGCACAGGTTTCAGAGCCCTGACCCTGGCCGGCTATGAGCGTGACAGTGGGTAGCACCTTCTCATTCACGCTGAGCCGACGTCCTCGTGGCGTCCTAGAACTTTCAGACGCTCACAACCGGCTTCCGAACTGCTCAGGTTTTCCACATGGCAGCAGGTCCTCGAGGAAGACCTTTGCCAAAGAAGGAGAAGGAAATTGTAAATTCCCAGCAGAAGGCGCCCGGTTTTGTAGCTCATCAGAAATTTATTTTACGTATCAGGGTCTTCACTGAAAATCAAAGTTTTTCTTGTTTAGAAGTGAACTTAGAGATATCTGGCAAAAGTCAATTTTTTTATGCTTTATTTCACAAGAGAAAACTTTTTTTGCAAGCAAGAAAGTTTGTTATGGAAACACGAAAAGTAAGTAAGCAAAAGAGAGTAAGGCGGAAGCAGGGGCAGAAAGACGCAGCCGCTCTCTCTGTCCC